GCAGCCTGCCTAAACAAGTGGTTTTCAGGGTCTTCGGACCTTTCACCACTTCAGGACCATTCATGATTTTCAGACTGCCCAAAACTCTCACTTCACCACTTCATGACCTGTCTCTTATACACATCTAGATGTGTATAAGAGACAGGTACTAAGGAAGAGGGGAGGACTTGGAGATTTCAGCACCACTGGAGGACAACTCTCTCTCTCTCTCTCTCTCTCTCTCTCTCTCTCTCTCTCTCTCTCTCTCTCTCTCTCCACACCCCCTCTCTCCCTTTTTTGGGCGTCATTTGACCAATCAATCAATCCTTAATAATTGATTGATTGGTTGATCGATTCATTGAAAAAAAAAAGAGGCAAAAGAATTTACCTTGATATCGGTATCCCTGGATATGGATATGGCCCATCTCGATATCGATATGGCCCATCTCCATATCGGTATCCCTCGATATCGGGAGCACGCATTTGCGGCAAGTACGCCACGTGGCAAGTACACGACGTGGCAAGTGTGGCCTCACCATATAGTCTCGCGTGGCAAGTGCGCCCTCACCGAATCCCCCGTTATGGAGAGGATGCATTTGTGACGTGGAGTACTTGCCCCATCATCTAGTCCCACGTGGCAAGCGCGAAGGTGGCGACGCCGAGGTGGCGATGGGAGCGGGATGGCAACGCCCAGGTGGAGACGCCATGTGGCGTACTTGCCACGTGGCGATGGGAGAGGGATGGCAACGCCGAGGTGGCGACGCCACGTGGCGATGGGAGCGGGATGGCAACGCCGAGGTGGCGATGGGAGCGGGATCGGGAAGCGAAGGTGGCCACGGGCGCGAGATCGGGATCGAAAAGCAGAGGTGGCGATGGGTACCACACTTCGCACGTGCCAAACATCGCACGTGGTGCACGTGCCACGTGGCGCACTTTCCGCATCGCCACGTGGCGTACTTGCCCCATCATCAAGTCCCACGTGGCAAGTACGGAGGTGGCGACGGGAGTGGGATGGCAACGCCATCTCGGCGTCGAGGTGGCGTACTTGCCCCATCATCTAGTCCCACGGGCAAGTGCGGAGGTGGCGACGCCGAGGTGGCGACGTGAGCGGCAAGTACGCCACGTGGCAAGTGCGGCCTCACCATATCGTCCCATGTGGCAAGTGTTGAGGTGGCGACGGGAGCGGCAAGTACGCCACGTGGCAAGTGCGGCCTTACCATATAGTCCCACGTGGCAAGTGCGGAGGTGGAGACGCCGAGGTGGAGACGCCGAGGTGGCGACGGGAGAGGGATCGGGAAGCGGAGGTGGCGACGCCGAGATGGCAACGCAGGGCGTGGGATCGGGAGCGGGATTGGGAAACGAAGGTGGCGACGCAGGGCGCGGGATCGGTAGCGGGATCGGGAAGCGGAGGTGGTGACGCCAAGGTGGCAACGCAGGGCGTGGGATCGAGGGCAGGATTGGGAAGCGAAGGTGGCGACGCAGGGCGCGGGATCGGTAGCGGGATCGGGAAGCGGAGGTGGCGACGCCAAGGTGGCAACGCAGGGCACGGGATCGGGA